TTTGTCAAAGCATAATGAACATTAACAGCTGAGAATTATGCAGCATTAAGTCCAGAAGTAACAAACTTATCACTAGATATTATCAACATAAGAGGTGAAGTTCAACAGAAAACATCTAAACCCATCATCATCATCATATCAAAAAGAAACCAATCAACAAGATTTCCAACCCAGAAGCAAAGGCATACCCCAGATCACCGCTACATCAGATTCACGAGACTAGTTCACCGTTTACTCGGACTCAGTAGGGGGGAGCTTCTCCATCTCTAGGCGCTCGAGAGCTTTCTTATGCGCCCAGGTCTCGATCGTGAGATCAGGCTTGGCGTTAAGGCCGACGCCGAGGATCACGATAGTGAGGAAGCTTGTAATGTAGCAGGGAAGCTCCCAATCCTCCCATTTACGCGATTGACCGGGCGGAGGCGGAGTCCGATTGAAGAGGTATCCCTTAGGCTGCTCCTCGTGGCCCGGCGTCGCCCATCGGCTAGGTCCGGCAGCTGTGGACCCGGCACGAGAGAAGAGCCGGTGGCGGAGCATGGTTGCCGTGGTGGTCAAGGATTGTGGAGACGGCATGGTGCTTGGTTTCCACAGAGAGAAAGGAGGAGACAGAGCTATGGCAGCAGTAGGGCAGTGCTTTTGTCAATTGGGAGAGCCGAGTCGCGAAGTACAGGAAGCGCCTTGAGGAAGTAAGAAAACGACACCGTTTGGAAACACTTCTTACATTATGTACTTGTTAAATATATCCGACGTCGTTTAGAGATCCCTTTAAAGTATAATAAAAATAGATAAATAAAACAGCTGAGTTATTTACCTTCTTTCCTCAAAGAGAGCGCGGGTTCGAACCGGACAAAACCCATTTGGCCACTAAAATATTAGAACTGGATTTGTGATTTTTTTTCTTCTATAGATCAATTTTATCTTCCAAGCAAATCTTGTATTGACAATGATTTACTTCTGGATTTCTTTTAACCCAGAAACATAACGCAGATTGTGAATATAAACAACCATGGATTTATAACACTAAATTTCTAATTCACCAATAGTCTCCACAAGAACAGATTCCACCAGTGATGAGATGGAACCGGTTTTTATCTCTCAAACATACTTTTCTGCCATAGACTTTCGACACCATTTTTGCAAAACTGTGGCAATCTGCACAGATTCTGAGGTTCTTAATGACACGAATCGGAGCTCCTTCAGGAACAACAATCAACCCGTATGTCAAGGCTAGTTTTTCACTATGGCCAAGCAGCATCTTCTCCTTCTGCTCTTCATCCACATCATGTAAAGCACAGCTCAAATCAGGAACATAGCCAGCTTCTTTCAACCTTACCGATACTTCTTTTAACTTAACAAAGACCTCTTCTCTCCTCGGGTGAGACCGGTCGTTGGCATGAAATGTATGAAGGACTTGATCATGCTCAATCCAGCTTCTTCCTGGCTCTTTTACCACAACCTTCTGCATCATTAATTCTCTTAAAACTCTCACGTCTTCCCATCTTCCTGCAGAAGCATATAAATTAGAAAGAATAACATAGTTCCCAGCATTTTCAGGCTCGATTTCTAGAAGCCAACGACCTACAAATTCACCAATATCAAGATTTGAGTGAACCCTACAAGCACCTAAAA